TGTTTGTTGCATTTTAAAACTTTTTAAGTACTTTTATTTTAATTCATTCCTCGATTATTATAGATTACACGATTAAATTTTATTACGAATAATAATAATAATTAGTTAATTAATTAAGAATTAAAATTTATGTATAATGTAAAATGCCACAAATACCCTTGATATCATTTGGTGATAAATTGAAAAAAGGGCAAAAATGACTTTTACACATTTGGTGCAAAATGTGCAAGATTTCGTGTTGGGTTAGAGTGGTGTTTTTTGTGCAAAATGGTGAAAATGTTTCACTTCCACCATTTTGCACCAAAATGTGCAAGATTTGGTGTTGGGTTAGGTGGTGTTTTTTGTGCAAAATGGTGAAAAATGGTGCAATGGTGTTGAGGTTGGAGATGTCCTAAGTGCAACACTTTCACCATTTTGCACCAAAATGGTGTAAAGTCAATTTTGCCCTTCTCATTTATTTTCCAAACATATTGGTTAGGGGCGGTTATGTCATTTTGATTAAATATTTTTTAATAAAATAAATTATAATTATTAAAATTTATTATTTTTAATAATATAATTAATAATAATTAAGAACTTTTAAATGTAGTAATTATTTTGTTAATTGAACATAATTATTTATAATAAACTAATAATATAATCAATTATTTTCGTCAATTTAACGTAATACATGAAACAAGTGAATATTTTAGTAATTAATAATAATTAAATATTTTCATTAATTTAACCTAATTATTTATTTAGTAATTTATGTAATTAAAATAAATAAATAAATATTTTTTTTCAAATAAATACTGTTCATTTGGTGTAAGTTTTGATGTAATGAGTTGGAGATAATTTTTAGTTTGGTACAAAATTTAATGTAAAATAGTGTAAAACTTATTTCAAATTTTAGTGCAACGTTGAAGATGGTCTAATCCTCGAGTGTAGTGGTTTTACTACTTACAAGTTACAAATGAGAGTGATTCTTTTAGACGTGTATCTCAATGCATAAAAACCTGTGTCCGAGGTTTCTCAATCATGTAAAGCCATAAGAATTGAACGAAGGAAGAAATGATTACCAGTTTAAAGGCTGATTTTCTTCAGGCCTGGAAGCTAGAGTGAGGCGGGCAATGCCGACAATCTGAAGATTCCTCTTGTTACTGAAGTACCCTTTACATAGAAATCGATCAAGAACACTGACACCTAAGAATATTGTCTCTTTCTGAAGCCCTAATGGGTAAGTCGAAAAATTAAAAAGACTCATTGACTCACATTCTTTAAAAAAAAAAAATTGACTCACATTCTTCCAAAAAAAAAATGGACGTGCTACACTCACAAAACCTTTTACAAATTTTGTGACAAACTCGCCACTTGGCGCCCCCTATTGGTTTTACAAAATTTTGTACATTTAGATTTATCCCAAAAATATATATTCTCAAACAGTAATTTGACATCATTTCAACCACACATTCTATAATAAAATAATATTACACGTAAATCCAAAGTTTTTCATTTTTTCAACCACATATTTCCCATCAACACACTATTTGAAAATGCATTATTACCAAAATAATGTGGCTTAAACGGGACTAAGTAAATCGTGAATTTGTTGCTTATTTCACCGTTCAAAGGAGAGAGTGATCATTCTACGATAGTAAAGCTAATACAATTTTTTTTTTTTTTTTTTACAATTTTGGTTGACAATCATACTTGGCAATATCACATTCATCTATTTCAAAAATAGTTTTTAAAATTAATGGTTTAAATTTTGACAACATCAATGTTGTCATCCATCATTGTCAAACACAATTATACAAATAGATTAATTCAACAAACTAATCTTTCTTGCTGATAAAAAAAAAAAAAGTGGGCTTTTATCACTTTGATAGAAAGTTCTTGACAGATGGATGGACATAATGTTAATTGGTAAGATGTGATTGGATGAAAAAAATAATTTTGTTTAAAACAATCTAATAATAAAATGTCATGTGATATAATGTCAACCATTATGTCAATAATTATGTCACTTTAGCATGATTAAAAAGGAGCCCCATCCAACCTTCACCGGGAAAGAAAGAACAAAAAGGGAAAAAATGCAACATCAGTAAAGAAATTTTTTTATGACCAAATTTCTATCAATGACAATCTTGGTGAACACGGAGGATGTTGGAATTTACTTAAATCATTCACATCCAAAAATAAACAAAAAATCAATTCTCACCAAGAATCTGCTTTGTGTTTAGACAGAACCTGTGATAAATTATACATTTGTTGAATTCTACAAATTCCTTTACTTTTCTTGAACTCGAACAACCACGATATGTAATTCATAGCTATCTTATTGTCCAGTATCTAATGAAAATCCACATAGATAACAAGATTGAGAGAACTTGATTTTTTTTTACTTTTCTTGTACTAGCAAGAATAATTATGTTATCTCCTAATTTTTCAAATCCTAGCAACATATTAATATAAGTTCAAGTGGATTTGACTCGTCTCTTAAGTTAATCCAATCTAATATTTAATTAATCTAATTAATTGGGTCTATTAATAAGCAACACAATTAATTAATGCTCCAACACTTATCAATTAATTGGTAAATCTCATTCTTTTAGTTCTCATTTTGTGTGTGACTCTTTAGGTTCACAATCATGATATCTAACAACGTGAATTAATATTTTAATCTAATCAAAATCAATAAATTAAAATATCCATTTTTAATTTATTACCAATTCACATTCGTCGTCTCAGATTGACATCTAGCAATGTGTAAGGACAATATATGTGACGAGGTCACGTGGTATGACAAAATCAAATTTGTTCATTTACCGTGAAACTGTAATTCTTTCGTCAATATGATCCGATCAATTACAAGATATGAATATATGTCAATCTCAATTATCAATCATCTTTCATTCACTATTAAGTCAACGTAATTCGAAAACTCATTTTCGACTTATGAATACACTTTGACCAAGGATTTCGTTATCAATTTAATTGAATGAAATGTAGATCATATTCTCGCCTATTAGTAAGAGTGACGAATCTACTATTAATCATTCACAATCTGCATATGATTCTTGACATACTCGAACGATGTCGTATTAGCGGTCATTGGTAGAGCAACATCCAATATCATCAAAGTATGACCGTCCTCATATAAGGCTCTATGGTGACCTTAAGTCGAAAGATCAATTCCAGTACCGAGCATTCGAGATTAACCGCTGTCACTCAGATATTTATCCATGTGAATATCTCCGACGGATCTTCAATGTTTTGTTCAATAACAAAACATCATCGCGTTCATTTAAGTGTCACCACACTTTAGTTTGTGAGATCAGTTACTTACTTCACAAGTAAGAAATGTCACACGTGATGGTCTATCTGTAATAACGATATCCATATCTCATTATTACTTACGACCACAGAAAATTTAAGATTCAGTCATATGTAATTTGTNAACGTTAGAGATTAACCACTAACACTCAGATAATTATCCATGTGGAATGTCACAAGAGGTCTCCAATGTTTTGTTCTATAACAAAACATCCACGTGTTCATTCAAGTGTCACCACACTTTAGTTTGTGAGATCAGTTACTTACTTCACAAGTAAAAAATGACACATGTGAGGGTTTATCCGTAATAACGATATCTGTATCTCATTATTATTTACGACCATAGATGATTTAAAATCCAATCATATATAATTTATATCTCTCAATCGAAACTCCTTGTGATTAACAAATTATCAAGATTTGAATCTACGAGCTCTATTATTTAATTTAATTTAATATTAACTAAATAACAGATCTACCAAAAAAATGTATCCAAAGTTGATTGGATCTACGGCATAATACTTACAAATGATAGAATTATTTTCTAGATAAGGTGTGTAAGTAATTTTGTTCATTATGTCTAATTATAAGCGATACCATTTTTGTTGAATATGCAGAAGCTGCTGAGGTTGAAGAGATACCATCAGAATATGGGATTCAGCAACATGAATAAATGCTGGCCTGTAGCGAATGCTTTGCGGAAGAATCCGCGGGCATGGCTAGATTTTATGATGAAGTAAGTTTATCATTTTTATATTAAGCTGAAAATTTACTTAAAAGCACTTTTTTTCCCCTTTTTTACATGATCACCTAAATAGTAACATTTTATTATTTTTGATACATCTGTGATCGTCAAATCTTATTGAACATATTTAAAATCAAATGATTGATATGATCTTTAAAATCATAATTGTTAGAGAATCGTATGGATAGATAATTAGAGTTTGAATATAAAATCCGATAAGTTGATTAGGATCCTACCCGATCTCTACTACTAGGATTGCCCTCCCGAAAGGATGTATGATGGATATGTACTAGATTTAATTTTTTTGAGTTAGACCCGTGGCCGTGAGAGTGATCAAAGGGTTGTACCAATGTGCATTTTCAATAGATTGTCTACACAAAAACGATTCTCCGAGGTTTAATGACCACACATGCTTAGCATACTTGTGCATATTTACATGTAGTGACAAGTATATCGAACAAACTGTAACTTTTCACCTTTGTTTTTTTAATCGAGCCGATAATAAATAGAGTCTTAAGGCTTCAACGGTCGAAAAAACGTGGAGAGCAACAACACGAAGCTATTTCAAAATGTAATGAAAATCTCAGTTGGATTTAATCATTGTTTGTCTCCCTTTCAAACAAAACTCTTTAATTCTGATATTCTTTTTGAACCACACATTCACACAAGAAAATATTTTACACTTAAACTCAAAATTTTTCTTACTTCTTAACTACACATACTCCAAAAAAAATCACTGTTGAAAACATCATTCTTTTTCTCAATAATGACCATCAATCAAATAGGGGCTTAATCATTTGGATTAAAAATATTATATGTCTATGTTGTTCTACAGAAATTCAGATGTCCCTTTTCTGCTTGGAAATGGATTAAATTTAAAGAAATATTTGTTGGCACTGCCTCCCTCAGCATAATTTAGAACACATTCTTCTATCAGGTGCCTATTTCCAAACATCAGGAAATAATAATTAATTTACTAATTAAAAAGCTATACTTTTCATTTTGTTCTCTTGTTTGTCTTTTGTCTTGACGAGCATTGAATTTGATACGAATCCTACTTTAATTATTTTAGGGAAATTTGCAGTGTAGGTCCAAAACCTTTTCAAAATATGCAATTGTAGGACCTCTAGACTATTTCAAAATCCCTATTTCTCATTGACTCTCATTACACAACTTCATCTACAAATGCAGGTTTGAACTTTGAACTGGTATTGGAGAAGCCAAATCCAAAGAGAGCACTTCAAAGTGCATTCACTATTGCAATTGCTTATATTGTGGGTGGAGTAGTACCACTCGTTCTAGTACCACTCGTTCCTTACATATTCATTCCAGTTGCAAGAAAAGCGGTGATTGCCTCTGTAGTCTTAACTCTAATGGCATTGCTGATTTTTGGATATGCAAAAGGCCACTTCACTGGGAATAAGCCAATCAGGAGTGCTCTACAAACTGCCCTAATTAGAGCCATTGCATCTGCTGCTGCTTTTGGCATGGCCAAAGCTTAACGCAGAACGGAAGTAAAAGATTTACCAGCGTAAATCTTGAAAATAAGAAAACTGGAATTCTTCAAGAAAGAAACTTATATGCGATTAATAATGATGCTGGAAACGTTCAAAAGCCTTTAAAT